CAACCCTGCAGACAACTAAAGCCAAAGTGGGGAAAGCAGAGAGAGAGAAAGAGGTCCTGCCCTACCCACAGCAGGCAAAGGGAGCTGGAACTCAAATAAAAAAACAAGTTGATGACACAACAAAGAATGAATGATGTGTATAGAACCGATGGTAGTAATATAGAGTCATTTAAAAATTCATTTTGATGGGAATGATTCATTTTACCTGTGACTGAAATAATAATCATTTTCACCTCACTGAAATGTTTATATGGCTCCTTACTATGTACCAGGTACCACTGCAAGCACTTTACAAGATGTTAAGTGACTTAGTGTTGACAAAAGCCCCAGGAGGCAAGTCCTATTATAATCCCCATTTTACAGATGAGGAAAGTGAGGCCAGAGAGGTTAAGTAACCCACCCATGGTGAGACCGCAGCAGGCAACAAGCCATGATAGTTAAGATTAAAGCTGTATATGAAGGGGCTGGGGATGTGGCTGAAGCGGTAGCGCGCTCGCCTGGCATGCGTGTGGCCCGGGTTCCATCCTCAACACCACATACAAACAAAGATGTTGTGTCCGCCGAAAACTAAAAAATAAATATTAAAATTCTCTCTCTCTCTCTCCCCCTCTCTCTTAAAAAAAAAAGAAAGAAAAGCTGTATATGAAGATTATTCTGAGCATGTGTTGTTCATTATCTAGAGCGTGAGAAAATAAATGTAATAGAGTAAATCTATACAATTTACTTTTTAGCCAGATTCTTTAAAATAAAAAAAAAAGAAAGAAAGAAAGGAAAAGAAGTCACCTGAAATGCGTTCTTCACCTGGTGAGGCCTAATGAAAAGGTCTGTGGCTGCCTGTTATCGAAGTACAGGAGCAAGATGGAATCTGCTCCCTGGGAGCCAGGCCACCCCTGCGGGCTCTGGTGCTCTAGGAGCTTTGGTGGCTTCTCACAGTTTCCTGGAGGACTGCAGAGGCCACAATCCACACAGTTCCTGCTGCGCTGTGCAGAGCAAGCCTGGATGTCCTGGATTACGTCCCACCTGATCCCAACCCTGTCTGAGCCTCCGTTTCCTCCTTTGTAAAACGAGGTACAGCAGCACCCACATCACAGAGTGGCTGCAAGGACTGAATGACTCCCTGTGACTTCTTTACACAGCCCTAAGAACCTGGCCCACAGGAGCGCGAATGATGTTAGCTCTTTTTACTATTTGTGGCTTGTCTGAGTAAATCTGCCTTGTCATCATCAGACCCACACCTATCTCTCGCCGCACGCACACACACACACACACACACACAGCCTTAAGTTACGCGCAGGTGGAGAGGAGCACCTGCTCACCTGGCAGGGCCACAAGAGGAAGGTCAGCTCCCAGACAACTCAAGTGGCTGTGGGGAGCCGGGGGTTGGCATTCTCTGTTCCCCACTTCTTCTTTGGTGCAGACATTTGAGGCTTCATCTGAAAGTCTCTGGACCTAAACCACATCGTGGGAGAAGGGTCACCAAGCATGAAAATTCTCTCTAGAAAGTCAGGGAATCAACAAAGGGCCACACTTCCACAGTGAACCCAGGGCAGCCTGCTGTCCCCACGGGACCCTGCATTGCCTGCACACTGCATTCCACAGCTGCCTGGCACAGGAGACGTAGTGGAGGTGCTGCCAGCTCCTGCCCACCTGCTGTGCTTTTCTCCTCCTAAATCCTTGGAAGAGACTCCAACAAAAGAGCCTGTGGCTGAACTAGATCTCACTTCACTTGAGTCCAGAGGGAAGAATTGTAGGCTCTGAAGGCTGGAGGGAACCCCAGGGGTTCTCTATGCTAAGCTCTGACTGAATTCAGCTCACAATAGAAATGACAGCTTCAACCTGCTCCTGAGCTTGGGAAGAGACCTGGAATTGTGTTCTCAGGCTTTAAGGGCACACGCCTCACCTGGAGATCGATCTTGCATGGGCTGGGGATAAGGCTGGAGATTCCGAATTTCTAATACTCTCCTATGCAACATGCCTAGGACACACCTGGAGCAGAAGGATCTAGAGGACTTGCTATCCTCGGAAGGTCCTGCTTTAATAGAGGAAGCGCTGTAGGCAGGCAGACTGAGCTCTTTAAGAAAGGAACTTTTTAAGCTTTCTTCCACCAGAATCTAACCATACTGATGGATCACACCATAGAACAGATCTACTGGCACAGGGGACATGGCTGGCCAGGTGGGCAGGCATAGGTAGGTGACTGCTGATATGAAGATCAAATGCAAAATCTGAAATAACAGTCCTATAAATTTTATACCTAGGCAAAACCACCCTAGAGACCAAACAGAGACAAAGAGAAGGAAGGAAGGCAGGGAAGGAGGGAGGGAGAGGGAGGAGAGGACAGAGAAACATGAAGAAGCTTCTCTAAACCCCCAAAGAGGTTCTTTGTTTTATCTCTGCTGGAACATCTTTTTAAACTTAGCATGACTGATGGATGTGTCAATCTCCACCAGGAGACTGTGAGCTGTGTATTCAGGGCCTGCACCTTTTCTCTCCTAATCCCCAGGGTTTAGCACAAGAACTGGCTCTAGCCAGAGCTCAATAAACCCACATTTTGGGGAATTAAAAGGGATAATAGCTCCATTCACAAAGTCTCTTTTAGGTGCCAGACATGTCACAGACATTATCTTATTTAGTTCTGATAACAAACCTTAAGAGGGCAGTGCTATTATTATCCCTTTAGAGATGAGGAAGATGGGGCTCAGGAGGATTAAATAAAACGCCCACACTGGCATAAATAATTAGTGGTTGAGATTAGGACACAGGACTCCAGGTTACCAGAATCAATGCTCTTCACCAAGCTGATCCAGGCTGAGAAGGCCTGAAGTTTACACATTTTGAGGGGCCATTAAAAAAAAAAAAAAGATAAACCAAAAAACACTTACAAAACATATGACCATGTGAAACACTGCTGGGACCTTCCCTAGGGCCTTGGAAGGGGACTTCAGTGAGGGGCTCTGAAGCTTGAGCTGCATGACAACTCTGCCCCTGACCTTGACACACTTGCTGGAAACAGAAGAGGAAAAGGAAGAAGAAAGAGGAAAATCCTTTGAAAAAGAGAAGAAGAGATAAAAGGGGACTCAAAGGAAGAAGAGGAGGAGGGGGAAAAGGGGAGAATGTAAGGGTTAGTGAAGAAACAGAAAAAAGCACGACAGGTTAGGGACAGGTTAGGGACGGAAGCCCCCTCTGGAAGAACAGGGGTTCTGGCCTGGCTGTTGCTCCTGGCAGCTGAGAGAAGCAGCCTCTGCTCTCTGCAGGCCAGAGCCTCCACCCACAAACCCCTGGAGCCTCCTCCCCGCTGTGTCCTCTCAACATGGCCTGCCCAGCCCTTCCCACGTGTTTCTTTCCCTGGCCTCTCCAGGGGTTCCCAGACTCCACTAAGAGTTGGGGCCAGAGCTAGAGGGAGGGCTGAGTAATCCCCCCTCCTACTAGCCCCGCCCAGCAGCCTCCTTGCCCAGGTAGCTCCCTCTTTCCTGCTTCACCTGAGCACCAGGTGAGGAAATGGAAAGCCCGGCACTCAGTGCTTATCCTGGCACCTAGAGGAGCCCGGGCAAGGGAGGCCGGGCCTCTCCCCGCCCAACTGGGAAGTCCTCCTTAAAAGGGAGGGGCCTGCACAAAGCTTCACAGTCCTGTCCCCTGAAGTCATGTGTTCTGACACCAAAGGCTATCAACTCTGCCCCAAACTTCCAACTCTAAAGGCCACTGCCCTAGGGTGGGGAAGGGCAAGGGGTCATGTGGGCTCAAGAGGCCGCCCACGCCCAAGCCCAAGGGCACCGGCCCTGATCAGCCAAGATGGGGCCACAGTCAGTTCCATCCATGTGGGATTCTAGGCATCACTGGGGTCTGCCATGGGCCATACCACCCCCGACCACATGCTCAGGGTTTCTAACCTTTGCGTTACATTTCGTCTATTTACATGGCTGGCAGTGGGAAGGGACTCAGGCTTCAGCCCCAACTCTGTCAGAAGCCATGGTCCCCTCAACTGTCAAATAGTACAAGATAACTCTTAATGAGGTGATTGTGAGAATTAAAGAGATGACACATAAAAGCACATTTATCACTGGAAAGGCCAATACAATTTTTATCTAACTTGGAATCTCAGCTATTCAGGAGGCTGAGGTAGGAGGATCACAAGTTCAAGGCCAGCCTCAACAACTTAGGGAGATCCTTTCTCAAAATGAAAACTAAAAAGAACGGGGGATATAGCTCAGGGGTAGAGCACCCTTGGATTCAATCCCCAGTACTATAGATAGATAGATAGATAGATAGATAGATAGATAGATAGATAGATGAAAAGACTGAGAAATGGAAGAAGATTTGGATTTGTTCCGAATCACAAATTAACCTACTGTGTGACTTCAGATAATTGACTTCACTTCTCTGGGATTTAGTTTTATCACCCACAGAACGGAAGAATACAAGTGGACAAACCCCCAAGTCCCTTCAGGCTCTGTGGTTTGTGATTCCAAGGTTTCACCTTGCACATCCCCTGACCATCAGGATGTGGCAGGGTAGCACCAAGAGCGATTTGCAAAAAAAAATAAATTTAGCAAGCAGTGAGGCACTGGGAAAGGACAAGTGCTGCCCATCAGCCCTGGGCCAGCTTCACTTCTGGGTCATCTTCAAAAGGTAAGAAACCCCCTCCTTTTAAGGAACTTTCGAATCCTGTCGCTGCACACATGGCAACAATCCCATTCTATGGAGCAGCAAAATCCGTCGTCCCCAACCCTAGACTCCTCCAACAACTTCCCTCATGCCCAAACGAAAGCACCCACACAGTGAGAAGCCACACAACAGAGGGAATCTTCGTCAACACCCGACCTGCTGGGTGGAACCATTCAGGCGGGAAGGCTTTTGTAACATGTTAGGTGTGTCACCTGTTCTGAGGCCGAAGGGCCCTTGAATGACTTCAGGTGTTGTTCCAGCCCCAAAGACGGGTGTCAGGTTACAAGATACATAATCATTCCAGTTTGGCAACTTCACCCTGTAGGGTTGTTTGAATCAACCAACCCCACAGTCCCCAAATCACTCCTGGAGTACGGCAGTGGGAGGTGGCCGGCCAACGCACTGAGGGGAGAGGATGATGGCAACAAGGGGCCAAGGCCAGCCCTGCACTGAGGCCTCCTCCAGCCAGTGCTGAGCAGGGGCTTCTGACCCGCTGACCAGCCAGGACAGGTCGGAAAGGCCCTTCTCCTGCCCGTCGCAGCTCCACAGACCACAGGAAAACCAGGAGGATCACAGAGCCATCATGGTGAGTGTGAGCCCCTCAGCCCCTGAGACTGGGGGAGGCCAGCGGTCCCCATAAAGGGCCCTTCAGGCAGCTTGAAGGGTCATCAGCCAAGAATTTTATAACACATTCCAGGTTTAAAAAAATGTCACATCCAAATTACCCCCCAAACCTGGCACCTTACATGTCTGGTACTCACCTGCCCACCCCTCTGCCCCCATTTCCAACTGTCCTTGGATCAACCCATCAAAGAAGCTGTTGTGCCATCCCGCCCCAGATCCTGCCTGCCAGTTTGTACAGTGTCTCCTGGGCTGATAGCTAGAGGTTAGCATTATTTTTTTCAAGGCTGGGGAATGCTTTGATGCCACGGTGACCCTCTGCCACTCTCTGGGTTTTCTTTTTAAAGGAAATAATGCAGGCTAGAGTTGTAGCTCAGTGGTAGAGCACTTGCCTCACAAGTGGGAGGCACTGAGTTCGATCTAGCACCACATAAAAACAAATAAAGGCATTGAGTTAATATACAACTAAAAAAAAAAATTTAAAAAAAGAATGCAGAGATGCCCCCAAAACAATCTAGGAAGCTTGGGGAGATCTTCTGCTTATTCTCTCTTGAAATTCTCCTCTCCTTTCCTCCTCCGAGTACCTAGAGAATCTTCACTGTCTTGGGGCAGACAGAATCAACTCCATTTTTTAAGCACAATGAGGACCAGGAAGGGGAAGAGATAGTAGCTGGGTCCGGTCCTTGGCCAAATTGCAATTGCCCAGCAACCAAAATAGGAAAAGGAAGGGAAGGGGCTGTCCAAGGGAGAGGGGTGTCACCTGCTGGGCCTTCAAGGGACCTTCTCCTGACTCCCTGCCCAAGCACTTCCATGACCCGCTAATGAAAAGTCTGGCAAACTGCTAGTTCCTAGCTAGTTTCTAGCTTTCCTAGCAGAAAGAGGGGCTTGTCTGCTCGATGCTGGTACAGAGCCCTGCTGTCCCATCTGAGGAGGTTGCCCAGAAGCTCAACCTGAATGCAGAAGCACCATGTCGGGGAAACAGAGAGAGGAGCAGTCCTGCCTTCTGGTGACAGCTGCTGCTGCTACTGGGTGGCACTGAGGAGACCTGGGGTACCTCTTGAGAGAGGAGCAGACAAGAGAGTAGTTTCTGGGGCGGGTCACAGGAGAAAGCACTGCAGAATCATCTCCCTTATTAGCTGTGCTGTCTAGAGACTTTAACCTTTCTGAGACTTGTGTTCTCCCCCTGTAAAATGGAAATGATATGATCCATGATTGCCCCAAACATACATGGGGCGAATGGAGAGACTGAATAGGCTCATATACATGAAATAGGCTCTGCAAACCAGGGAACCCTACACAAATATAAGTCCTGTGACTACTGAGGCATCTATTCCAGGAAATGACAGCTGATTGCCATATCTAACCCTGACCCTTTGCCACCCAGGATAGAAGCTGGGTGTTGCTATATGAGGGAAGGAGGGCAGGTGGGCCCTCCTGGGGTCAGAACTGGAGCCCAAAATGCAAGGCAGCAGGATGGCCAGCCTCTCCTGGGTAGGGTAGAGAGATCTTGTGGCCTTGAGCTGCCCACTAACCCACCTGAGCCTAATAACCCTGTTCTTTCCCACTAATGAAGCCAGGATAATCACAGCTCCCAGCACTGGGAGAGGATGGGGTAACTTGGGGTCAGGCTCAGCCCTCCCTGCCTCCTCCCTTATCCGTAGGCCCCTCCCTGGCATAGAGGGTCAGAGTCCCGCCTGGAGTTTCCTCTTACCAACAGCACTGCCTTGGGCCTATTTAATGGGCATGCCCAGAGAGCTGGAGCTGAGGACCAGCCCTGGGCAGAGGTCAGAGTTTGGTATCTGGCCCAAGGGGATGGGTCCCTTCATCTTCACTCTGCAACTGAGGACGGGGAGGAAGTCAGGGACCCATGACTGGCTTTAACTCATCACTGCCCAGGACACCCCAGACACTCCATGAGCCTCAGCTAAGGGTATGAACACCTGGGGCCTAGCTGCTCTGGGGGCCCTCCTCACCCTCCCCACTGCCTCCTTTCCTTGCCGGTCTAGTGCAGACCCAAGGCATTTGGCTGGGACTCAAGGGATATGGCAAGATGGCAGGCCAACCTACTGGCAGTGGGGTCCAGGGAGCCTGTGCAGGGCCCATGCAGACCAAGGCAGAGCCCAGAGCCTTGGTGGGTGATCCTGGGCTCTGAGATGGCACCCTGAGAGGTGGACAATGAAAGGCCCTAGAAAGAGAGGAGAAAGGTTTCCCTCCTGCTTGCTGTCCTGGTCATCTCTCTACCCAGGTGAGGGGGGCCTACTGTCACTGTGACTGGTACTATTTCACTGGCCATTGGTCAGCTTCTTAATAGGGGCAGGGGATAAGGTCTAGGTCCTACCCTAAAGGTCCTCTAAGAAAAAGTGTGACAAGTATATTCCAGAAGTGATCTGGTAGCTGAGAAGGCAGATTCCCTCTAGGGTGGCCCGGAAGTTGTTCAAGAAGACAAAATATTTGCATTGTACCTTTAAAGATGAACCAGCTCCCTCCAGTCAGGCAAAGCAGGAAGGGTGTTTCAGACAGAGGGAACTGCATGCAGCCAGCAAGACACAAGTGGCAGTGTGGGGAGACAAGGGGCAGTATGCTGTGGCTGGAAAAAGTGCCTAGGGAATAGAGGGGCCTCTCCCCATGTGGTGGGCACTGGAGCCCCTACAGCAAATTTGGGTTTAGGATCCCCACTGTGCCCTAGAGCTCAGCAGGGCTAGGAGGGGAAGGACCCCAGCGGCTGCTAAACAGAGCCACCTCCAGAACTTGGCCCAGGCAGTTTTCCCCACCCGCCAGGACAACCGATGTCCAGCGTTCCTCACCCCCTGCACACAAGGGCAGTGATGTGCCCATCTTTGCGCCAGGCTCTAGAGATGTGCCCGCGGGTGAGAACAAGCAGACTTGGGTCCTGCTCTCAGGGAGCTCAGGGTCTAGAGGGGTGGCAGGTGGGGAGGGACAGACACTAATCACATAATCACACAACCCATGTTTATTCAACAACTGAGATGTGTACTGTGATGCAAGATAAGGAGCTGAAAAACTAAACCAGGGTGTGGCCTCATGGGGACCAGAGAAGGCTGAGAGTAGGAGCTGGGGAAGGGGGAAGGGAGCCATGTGGGAAATGAGGAGGGGCGGGAGAGGAAGCTTCATGCTGGGAAGAGATGAGAAAAATGGACTACAAACAGGACTCTGGAACTCTGGACAAGCTTCCCAAAGCCCCAGAGCCAACCAGGAGACAAGGTCTGAAAACCTTCATGGGGCTCAGATTCCCAGGCACCTGTTCTCTTCTTGGTCTTCTGTCTTGCCCAGAGAAAACCAGCCTCAGTGGAACACGGAGTTCCCACTGATTCCCTGAACAGTGATCCCCAACATATCATGCACTCACCTGCCACGTTCTAGAAACCTGTTACCTCCAGACCATGAGCTTCTTACAGACAGGATCTATGTCTTTTAGTCCCAAACACAGCACAGATCTGGCTTGGAAGAGTCACTTGGTAAATATGTGTGAGTGAACGAATAAATGACAAATGACCCAAGACCGAGTCCCCTCAATCAGCTTCTGATCTATAAGATATTGAAAGCAAGTTCACCAAGTCCAATCACAAACACTTCCTACCAGAGGTGAAAACCAAAGAGTTTCCATCCCAGAAAACCAGGGCTGAGGGTTATGGAGGGACAGGCCTGAGCCTGCCTAGAAACCCCAGTGACAAGGAAGAAGGAGAATTGCACCGAGCCAATTTAGCAATCCCCCTGAGACATGTCGAACTCTACCTGCCAGTCTGCCACTCTGACTAACCATCATGATTGCAGCACAGAAATTGGTAAATGAGGCACAGCTGCAAGACCCCCAGCCCTACCCCCAGCTCCTGGAGCAGCTTCCACTTCCTAGGGTAACTCACATGCAGCGAAAATTCACAGGTGGCAGCTGAAAGGAACACTCAAGGAAGAGGGTGAGAGACTGACATGGCCCCTGACAGCAGTATTTTTGGTCTCAAAGTAGCCTGCCACACATTGGTCTAGCTAGGTCTGGCCCACTGGTGGGGCTGAGATGACTGATGATTTGGGCACTTCCTGTGGTCTCAATTTCCTCCACTGTAAATATGCATGCATGTGTTCGTTCATTCATTGAGCATGGGCCTCCTGAGCACTTCCTATGGGCTAGGGACTGGCACGACCCTGTGGAAGATTCAGAGATGAGAATGCAAAACGTAGACCCTCAGTTCAGATGCTCTGTAGATGGAACGGGGACAGGTTAAACTGCTTCTTCCCCAACCCCAGACAGAGCAGTTCACATGTTCACTCACAGATGACAACAAGGATTAACTGGAGCTGAAGTCAGCCCTCACCTTCAGCCCACTCCCACCGTGACACCATGATCATGTCTCCAGTCCCCAGGGAGATGGATCCTGCCAGCTCCTGGGGTAGGAGCGCCTGGTGGTCTCACAGAAAATACTAGCAACAGCAGCAGCGGCTCTTCTCCAACCTAATGCAGCGAGCTCAGCATTTTGTGGTAGGAGACGCACCTTACATCCAATATCTCCCTTTCAGTGTGACACCAGCTCTCTGGGACATTGAAATCTTCATTCTACAGGTGAGGAAATGGAGGCACAAAGTGGCCAAGTGACTTGAAAAAGGGTCGCTGTGCCCAGAAGAGACAGAACTGAGACTCCAAACTTGGGAGTTCTCTCCTTCTTCCCCAGGATGAGGCCCTATAAGACCAGCACCTGGAGTTGACCAGGAGAAGGCAGACGCAGGTGCCCCACTGTCCTGCCTGGAAGCTGACAAGAGCCTATGGCAGAGTGTGCCCTAAAAGAAGACGGTACAGCCGACAACGGGAGGGAGGAAAGAGGTGGCTTCTGCAAGGAGACTCCATCCCTCACTAACCTCCTAGCAATCTACCATCTACTCCATCCCTTACTAATCTACCAGCGATGACAGAAAAAGGTCACAAAGAAGGAAGCAAACACATGGGCAAAAGGAAGC